AAATTCTCCGGAAGGGGGTCAAAGTCTAAGTACATAAAGAAGTACGTTTCTCTATTTTCAAGGGAGTATAAGTGAACGTCCGCCCCCCCCCCCCCACGGACGACCATGGATACAAACATGTGTATAAACAAAAGTAACGTTTGGGGGGGGGTATTTAGATAGTGTAAGATGTATGGAAATTATCAATTTCCTGTTATTTACATATATGAACATCAGTGAGGATCTGTTAGATACCAACTATACGTCTGTTCACCAGACGGTATCTGAATTTCCAATATAAAGCACAACACAAGTCCCCCCCCCCCAAACAACAACAACGCATATAAATATTGGTATTAGTTATTTTACATATCAGCAACGTTAATGTGCTGGAGTCTCATTTAATTATCATAAATATTGCCTTATATAAATATCGCTTAGATAGAAAGTTTGTTCCAGCTGAGAGTTTCTGTCCACACGACTGAGGAATGGGTAAGGTCACGTGACTTGAAAATTGTTGATGGTTAACCTTGTCAAACCAGAAATTATTAATATTTGCGGCCAGTTGTGGCGATTGGATATCAATCGCGGATTCAAAGACCCAGGTTCGATCCTAGGCTTTTCCAGTCATTCTGGACTCTCCCTAAGACGGTAGCAAGTTAGCAGGCGAAATATAAATTATAAATTAAGTACTGTCCAAGTAATAAGAGATTATATTTAAAATTAGTACAAATATAATGTTCTTTTAGCAGCTCACTTCAGCAATAATATTTACGGCATCATTTGTAATTATTCATTCATTTATTATTCTACTTTTAATTTTGTTATTTGAAGCGCTGTTTGACATTATTCTGCTTGTTGGAAACAAAACTGGTAAATATCAGGATTTATTGTAAATATGGCTTTTATACTGGTACAGAAATACAAACCTCTAAAATTACAAAAATATAAAAATAAAACCTAAGTGTTACGTGAAAGAATTAACAAATTAAAATGTTATCACCGGTAAGGAACTTAGTAACACAATTTTCCTACTACCACTTTTATTTGTAAGAGTTTGATTACACGAAGCAATGTTCTGAACGTTAATGGATATATTTTGTACTTTATTTGCTCGAATAACACTATGTACTTCTTCGTAATTCGTTGTAATCTTTTTTTACGTTCCAGGTTTTCCTTTACCGGTGATGTCAGGTTTTCCGACTGTATTACCAAATCAGTACAGGTGAGTGTTAGGTGAAATAGTTTGTTCTTATTTTGTGAGGTGATAATGTAGCATGAAAACATGTGGTTTGACCTAAGTCCAAAAACTTACTTTCAATAAAAACAAATCAGGTAATGATCGAAAGGCATCGTTTTAAACACTCACGGCTGGTGTTAGTTGAAGGCGACGTTTTCTTACCTCAGCAAGCGTATGTACGAAAGACGTTTAATTCAGTTGACGAAAAATGACAAGAGTAGCTCCAATATTCGCGAATACCCAGTGTTCATTATACGGGATTTTAATAAGTTACTGAACCATTTGATTGAGTAAAACGAAAACTACATATGATAAACAATTGCGGCTTGTGGTATAATGGAGGCTTAACACCTCGGGTTTGTCTATGGTCAGTGGCACTGTTAATACACCTCGATATGGACACCATTCGTGACTCTAAGGATGTCCAAGCGATAATCGTTCTCCAAATACATACGTGCGAGCATCTCTGAGCCACTATATTCAGTAAATTTGTCTTATATACATACAACTTCCCATACACTCTTTATATAATCTAAAAGCAAAAACGGTTCTGTAGTTTTAATTGTATTTGTATATCACTCTTATTTTATGTGGTACATTCATTGCTGGCCAAGTCACAGAGACATTAAGACTGATTTGTGGCTGTTCACCATAATCTAAATATACCTCACTAACGGTTTTCTTCAGATATTGGCTGAATATATTCTGTTCTAAACGAATTGTTTACATTTTCTGCTTTGCCATCTTCTTCGCCTCTGGGTTTGAATTACTTTGCCCACTACTTAGATGTTTTTTCTCCTCATGCGAAATTCTCCCCTGGTGGATTTTTTGTAGCAATATTTGAGGGCTGAAATTCTTAAACTCTATAATAACAAAAATTAATGTGAAAATATAAAGTATTAAATGAAAATTTAAACTCCGCTAAGCAATTGACAATGATAAGTAGTGTGATTCAGCTATTACCAAAAAACGTCCTTACGTCTTGTTTTATGAGTGAACATGTTATGTTACAACCGCACACAGAGATCGTCTGTTTTATATCGACATTTGACAGTAATTATGGGCTAACCTTGTGCTACTAGCCTACGCCTACTTCTTTTCAAAAATTTACATAAATAAAATACCCTTGACGTAGAGTAACGATGAGCGTAAGTCTTGTCAAAGCCTTATTTACTATTATGAGTCTCATCAAAAACGGGCCTGGTTTTTATTGTTGTGAGTCTCGTCAAAAACGGGCCTTGTTTAATATTGTGAGTGAAGAGGTCAGGTCAGGTTTGCCATGTTTTAGCTGAATAAATGGTATTATATGTAGATGATAATTAAAAAAATATATGGGAAAATTTTTCCAAATCATTTTATCATATTTAGTTCTCAAATGTCTGTTAAAATAGCTGTAGCTCTGCATCCCCTACAGGGCTGTGCCCGGTCAGCTGCTCTGCTCGGCCCTCCCTCGTCAAGCTACTTGTTAGGAAAGTGATTTACTAATTTATGGATACCCTGCATGTATTACTAGCAGTCGTGCTAACAACTTCATGATAGTAGTTATTTATTAGAATCAAATATAACTTAACAACCTGTCCTGTTATGTACGAATAAAGACAATAGTTTGTTGCCTAAATCTATATTTTTAGAATTCTGAATAAACACTTTTCGAGAGTGGAACGCACCATGCAATACGTTAAACACATTTGTTAAGTTACCCCTAAAATGGTAAATGTGGCGTGTCTTTCGAGCAGTTACAAACTACGCTCTCTGAAAGAGAAATTAGCAACTCCCAAAGAACGTATAAAATCCCTATTACAAAATCAACAACTGAGTGTAAAAAAAAGCAAAAAAACTTCCCTTTAAACTACCGCTATTCATTTTAATTTCATAATGTTAATAATATAGCGTAGAGAACTTGCATGAAGCTGCTGTAGAAGAAAACTAAGCCTCTGGAAATAATTTTAATTGTAACTACCGCACAATATCCGATATTGTTCCTCCTAGTACCCTACTTTGACTAATTTTTAGTCCAAAGAATGGTGAAAATTTTTCAAATTGGTGTGATATTTGTCTATTTTGGTGTACTTTGATCATATGTACTCCACCATGCAAAAGTTTTGTGACAGCATGCATTTAAAATGAAGTGTGCTTTGTCGCCGGGACCCATTTTACTAGATAATGGGTAATCGTTTAGGATTAATCACAGCCTGAACCCTTACTGATAGTTAGCCACTCCCATTGCACAGCAGCTTTAAGTATACTGATATTTCTGAAACTGCTCCTATGTACTAGAGGTAGAGCTTCATAACCTTTTATAATGGCTCAGTTTGATTCGGATCTTTTGACCGACCGAGGTCGATTTGCACATTGGGTCAATCTGCTACTGGACACAGCGTGCGATTTGGCATAGTACATTATCACACTGAAAGATGCACGGTCTTTCCTCGCAGAACTCAGCCAATGAATGCAGAGAGGGCGCTTTCTCAAGCATGTCTCAATATGACGAAGCATTCATTATTTATCTAAGTAACCAGTGGATTAAATCCAAACTAGCATTCGAATCAAACTATAAGTTGCGAGGTTTGTAGCTTCAAATGATGATTTTTTTTTTCATTTTTCTTCATCCTAGTTTCACTGTTAAATGTATAACGAAGGCAGACATCTTGCATTCACGACAGTGATGAGCTGCGACCCCTCTGTGAAATCCAACAGCAAGGGGCTATTTGTGGTAGTATATGTGCTGATCTCCAATCCTGAAATCGTGTTTTAAGGCCTAGTTGGTTAAATTTTGGACAGGGGAATGATATCATGTTAGTGTGTTTCATGCCACAGCCTTCTATGTTTTTCAGCAGATTACTCACAGTAGATTACAGTATTAGTAATCGGACTGTAATGTTTCAAATATTCACGCCATCAATAACGCATATGTTAAAGAATCCTTTTTAAAAGTGCATGAACTTCTTCATGACATCTTGATTACAAGTGGCTGACTGTTCTTTTTTTTCTTTTTTGGTGTTCTCTGATTATAGCAGATTTTTGAAACACCAAGAAACATATTTCAAAGTGAGCAGCTATTTTGTAGAAAAGGAGGCTTACATGACCAAATGCAACTAAACAGAGATGTAGGTATCAGAAACTGAAGAATAACATTAGTAACACCAGGAATAAGATTTAAAGGCACATGAATACTTCCTTACAAGGTAGTTAACGAATGGGGTGACTGAATATGAGTTAGAGTTTTTCAGATGATGTAGCTAACCATAAGCAGGACACGAAAGAAACACATGGTGAATAGTCTCCAGAGAAATTTGCAGAAAGAACAATATGGCGAAATCACCTGACAAAATTTAAATGTAGAGTAGAATTAAAATAAAAGTACCAAGTCGTAACTGTATCATAACCACATTCAAGTGTTTACTTGTTTAGAACAGTAAATTTTTAGGGTAAAAAAGGAGATACGAGTTTTTGGTAGAGCGGGTTTGAATAATAATAACTACTTAATGGAAGTGATTGCATGAGAAAATTAAAATATGGTACCGCTTTCGCAGCCATGTCAGCTCATTCATTTCCATATATACTAATATGACCAGGTATCCAAACACAACTAATTTTTCCATCATAATAGATAAGACAGTTATAGAAAATACGACATTCCCACAGTAAACCTTAGCTATACTCCCCCCCCTCCATCCCCACGATAATTTAATATAAGAACACTGCTTAAAGAGTCTGAAAATATGACAATGTAAGAATAAGCGTAGGAGTATTAATTACCTAAGATAATGTTAACAGGATACTTGAAGTTCAGCAACACATTTTCATAGTGACTTGAGAGACGATAAGACGAAAATATATTTAAGTTGTGGTAATAAATAGGACGAGCAAAAGATAAGTAAACAAATGTCAGCACACATTAGCGTAATAGGAAGAACAGTAGCAAATTACCTATAGTCATAAAATTAGGAAAAATTATCAAAGAATGAAAGAATCAATCGAGGGTCCAGAACGTTGGACAAACTTAAATCCCCACTGACCATAGGGCCAAAGCTAGCTGATAAGCTAAAATTTTGTAAAGCAGAGAAAAGTGTACAGAACAATTAGGTGTTGCGCTATTTTGAAGGACATTTAGTTTTCGAATCATATGTAAATTAGAATAATTGTCAATATCACAACCAAAATCCAGTTTTGAATTAATTAAAACACAATATAATAACAAAATAAAATGGCGATAAGCTTCCCATGAGAGGTTTAGCGGGAAGTGCTCTCAACATTTTCAGGCACCTTTTGTGTCCCCATAAAAATTCAAGCACCCATGTCGAAATTAGCACTTAAATTTTCTATCCGTATAGTCAAGCTGTCGAGGTATTTTCTGCACAAAATACTTCGTAAAAACCCATCTCCCACCCATAATTTTAGCCATGGGTACGTTTCCTATTATTGATAGCCACGTACTTTCATTTCATGCAGAAAGGGAAATTTCTAAAACAGAAATCATCCCAGGTTTTAACCAAGCCTCAAATTCTATATTTATACCCAAGACGGGTTCGAATCCTATTACCGAACATGCCCGCCCTTTCAACCATGTGGGAGTTATAATGTGAAAGTCAATACCACGTTTCGTTGGTAAAAGAGTAGCCCAAGAGTTGACGGTAGGTGTCGTTGACTAGCTGCCTTCCCTCTAGCCTATCATTCAAAATTAGGAACAGCTAGTGTGGATATCTCTCGAGTATCTTTGCACGAAATTCACAAACAAACAAGTAAACTACTTACTTAGATCGAAACTAAAAATCATCCGGGTAATTAACAGACAAGAATCTTTCAGAGAGAGAGTGAGAAAACGAGTTTATAGATAAAGATAAAATGGTTTAGCAAAGAAGATTATCACATCTAGAAGAGCCAAGAAGGACGTACGCAAGGAACACTTACCACTTTCTCTTTGGGAAGAAGAGTCAAGTCTAAAGGGCTACATTTCCAGTACTAGATTCTAGTCTAATAGGGGA